AAAAAAAAAAAAAAAAAATTATTATAGAGATGAGGTCTTGTTAAGTTGCCCAGGCTGGTCTCGAACCTGTAAACTCAGGCAGTCCTCTCACCTCAGCCTCCCAGAGTGCTGGGATTATAGGCCTGAGTCACCGTGCCCAGCTGTGGATCTTTTAAATTAATAGACTTTTTTTTTTTTTTTTTTTTTTTTGAGTCAGAGTCACTCTGTTGCCCAGGCAGGAGTGCAGTAGCATGATCATGGCCTCCACAGCCTCAACCTGCTGGGTTCATGCGATCCTTCTGCCTCAGCCTTTTTGATTTATTGTAGAGATGAGGTCTTGTGAAGGTGCTCACGCTCGTCTCGAACCCCTGAGCTCAGGTAGTCCTCTTGTCTCAGCCTCCCAAAGTGGAGATGTGTGCCACTGTGCCTGGTGACTTTATTTCTTAGAGTCGATTTGGGCTTATAGAGTATCGGGCAGGTAGTACAGATCTGATTTCCCTTCCATACCCCTAGTTTCCCCTGTTACTGGCTTGCATTTGTGTGGTACATCTGTTACAGTTGATAAGCCAGTATTGATATGTGATTATTGATTAGAGCCCATCATTTATATTAGGGCTATAGTTCTTTGGGTTTCGTCAAGTGTGCAGTGTTGTGTGTCCACCGTTAAAGTGTCACACAGAATGGATTCACTGCCCTGCAGATATCCCTTGGCACCCCTGCCTCCCCCCAAGCTCTTGGCAGCCACCCATCTTTTTGCTGTCTCTATAGTTCTGCCTTTTCCGGAATGTCATAGTTCTTTGGGCTTGCTTCTTTTTACTTAGTGACGTGCATTCATGGTGCCTCCTGTCCTTCATGGCTTGAGGCTTACTTCCTTTCATCCTGAATGCTGTTTCCTCATCTGGCTGTACCATGGTTTGCCCACTCACCTGTTGAGGGCCATCTTGCGTGCTTCCAGTTTTCTGTCTGTAACTCCATCCATCACCACTTGGCACTCCCACACTTTGGAGAGCTGTTGTTCAGTACGGCTGCCAAGCGGGCTGTTCATGGAGTTCCAGGGCTAGGAAGGACACTGAGACTGCCTCTCCTGCCACCAGATGTGCTCGCTCTGCATCCCTGGGAAATGCCCTCCTCTCTTGCCCCCGTTCGTCAGGGACCCTGGGGTCTATGTTTCTCAGGTTTCTTTCATACTGCAGCCCTTTCTGAAGAGCAGAAACACCTGGGTCCACTGCCACCCCTACCTTTGGGGTTAGAACGTATCCTCAGAGTGGCTGGGGCAGGTGGCACAATCCAGAGACAGTAGAACTACCCAGACAGACACAGCAGTTCAGGGAACAGTGGGGATCTTGATGGTCCGGGACCCAAGGCCCCTAGGGCTAGCTCACCCTCCGCTCCTGTCTCTCTGGGGTGCAGTCGCACCAGCAGTACCCTCCGTCGCACACCACACCCCTGCCCAAGAAGGCCTACTCCAAGATGGACAGCAAGGGCTACGGCATGTACGAGGACTACGAGAACGAGCAGTACGGGGAGTATGAGGGAGATGAGGAGGAGGACATGGGCAAAGAGGACTATGACGACTTCACCAAAGAGCTGAACCAGTACCGGCGTGCCAAGGAGGGCAGCAGCCGTGGCCGAGGTGAGCCCCCCCAGCACCTTTTCCCCCGAGTGCTGGCGCGAACCCGGGCAGACCCAGACAGCTCAGCCTCAGACCCTCCAGTCCAGGAGAGGACAGGCAGCTGTGTAGGGCTAAGCTAAGTGTACGGAGGAGAACCAGAGCTGCACGTGCGACCTGGGGGCTGGAACCTCGTAAGGGCGGCTGGGCAAGGTTCAGGGTGGGCCGTGGGGAGGCGACGGGCTGCTGTGAGGCAGGGGAAGGCTCGCTTGCTGAAGGGTTTTTAGATTCACGGCCTGGTCAGCTGCGGGGGAGAGAAGGGACAGGCTCTGTCTCAGCTGGGCCGAGTGGCTCACCACTGGCTGCCCAGTCCTCAGCAGCGCCCCTCCCCCGCTCTCCCAGCCCCGTTGCCTGAACAGGTACAACTGCCACGCCTCTGAACCTTGAACCTGTGGCTCTTGGGAGCGTGGTGGGGTGGGCCAAGGGCCAGAAAGCAGCCCAGCCTGGCCGCTCGAACCCTCCTGCCAGAATGACGCCCCAGCCTGAGAGCAGCGTCTGGAATCTTCCAGCAGAGGTTCTTAGGCTGTGGTCCTTGCCTAAGGTCCAACCTGTTCTTTGAGTAGCTGTTCACTTGTTTGTTCTTCGGGCCATCTTTGCAGGGCAGCCCTATGCTTCTAGGAGATCATAGACCAGTGTAGTCCTGGAGATAAGATATACGCTGCTGTGTCATTGTGCATTTTCTAGGAGCCACATTAAAAAGTGAATATGCGGGGTACAGTGATACACACCTGTAATCCCAGCACTTTGGGAGGCCAGGGCGAGAGGATTGCCTGAGCCTAGGGGTTCGAAACCAGCCTAGACAACTTGGCGAGACTTCGTCTCTACAGTAAATCGAAAAATTAACTGGGCGTGGTAGCGTGTGCTTATAGTTCCAGCTAGACCCTATCTCTGTTTTTAAAAGTGCAAGGAAGCTGGGTGTGGCGGCTCACACCTGTCCTCTCAGTACTTTTGGAGACTAAGGAGAGAGGATTGCTTGAGGGATGGGTTTTTTGTTTTTGTTTTTTTTTTGAGTTGGAGTCTCACTCTGTTGCCCAGACTGGAGTGCAGTGGCACACTCCCGGCCACCTCAGTCTCGACCTGCTGGGCTCCGGCGATCCTTCCACCTCAGACTTACAAGTAGCTGGAACTACAGGCACGCGTTACCACGCCCGGCTAGTTTTTGATTTATTGCAGAGATGAGGTCTTGCCAAGTTGCCAGGCTGGTCTCGAACCCGCGAGCTCAGGCAATCCACTCACCTCAGCCTCCCAAAGCACGGGATTACAGGCTGAGCCACTAAGCCTGGCTGAGGATAGGTATTTGATACCAGCCTGGGCAACATAGCAAGATCTCATCTCTACAAAAAGAATATAAGCTGGGGTGTGGTGGCTCAAGCCTATAATCCCAGCACTTTGGGAGGCAGAGGTGAGAGGATTGCCTGAGTCCAGGGTTTAAGATCAGCCTGGGCAACTTGGCGAGACCTTGTCTCTACAATAAATCAAAAGCTTAGCCAGGTGTGGTGACAAGTGCCTGTGGTTCCAGCTACTTGGAAGGCTAAGGCAGAAGGATCACCTGAGCCCAGCAAGTCAAGGCTGTGGTGGCCATGAGCGAGCCACTGCATGCCAGCCCGAGCGACAGAATGAGACTCTGAATCAAAAAAAAAAAAAAAAATTAGCAGGGTGTGGTGGTGTGCGTCTGTAGTCCCAGCTGCTCAGGAGGCTGAGGCAAGAAGATTGCTTGAGCCCAGAAATTAATAATCCATTTTATCAACTTAATACATTCAGTCCAGGCTCAGTGGCTCAGCCTGTAATCCCTGCACTTTGGGAGGCCGAGGCAAGTGGATTGCCTGAGCCTGCAGGTTTGAGACCAGCCCGGGCAACTTGGCGAGACCTCGACTCTATAATAAATCAAGAAAAATTAACTGGGCATGGTGGTGCATGCCTATAGTTCCAGCTACTTGGAAAGCTGAGTCAGAAGGATCACCTGAGCCCAGCAGGTCAAGGCTGCAGTGGCTGTGACCTGCACTCCATCCTGAGTGAGACTTCGACTCAAAAAAATAAAATAAAATAAAGTCTTTGAAGTCCAGCATGTCTTATACTTAGACCATCTCAGTTTGGGCCTGCCACGTTTCAGGTACTCCTTTGCCCACATGGATGGTGGCTGCTGTGTTGGACAGTGCACCTCTAAGCTGAGAAGTGCCTATGAGGCAGGGTAGTAACTACTGCTCAGCTGTATGTCCAGAGTGCCGAGGGACCCCCCCACCACATTGAGGGAACCAGGGAGACCTTTAGTCTGCCTGGAGAAACTGGGAAGACAGCCTGGGGGAGGAGGATGAATTGATGGACTCTTCTTTCTTGCCAGTGGGATCTGCTCCCACTGGAGGCTCATGTCTGGATCTCCATGCAGGCAGCCGAGGCCGTGGCCGAGGTTACAGGGGCCGTGGAAGCCGTGGAGGATCACGAGGCCGAGGCATGGGTAGGGGCGGCCGAGGCAGGGGCAGGGGTTCCGTGGGAGACCACCCGGAGGACGACGAGGACTTCTACGAGGAGGAGATGGACGTAAGGCTTTCTTTAGCCCTGGAGAGTGTGGGTGCAGTCACTGGGCACTCTGGGCCATGAGTGCCATTGGGGGCGTCCTGCAAGGCTGAGGTGGAAGCACATGTGGAATTCTGAAGGAAAGGAAGCCTCTGAGGGCAGGTGTATTTGCTTTTAAGTGTTCACTTACGTTTTTGAAATAAATGAAACCTTGGTGTTTAAAAGAGAAAAGGTATCACAGGATGGACTGTGAAAAAAATCTTGTCCCTAGAGATCAGTTTCCTGAAAGTTCCTCAGAAGCATGTCATGCCGGGCGTGGTGGCTCATGCCTGTAATCCCCGCATTTTGGGAGGCAGAGGCGAGAGAATTGCCTGAGCCTGCAGGTTCGAGACCAGCCTGGGCAACTTGTCGAGACCTCGACTCTAATAAATCAAGAAAAATTAACTTGGCGAAACCTCGTCTCTACAATAAATAAATAAAAAAATTAGCTGGGCATGGTGCAGCGTCCCTATAGCCCCAGTAACTTGGAAGGCTGAGGTGGAAGGCTTGTCTGAGCCCACAGGTCGAGGCTACGGTGGCCATGAGCGTGCTATTGCACTCCATCCTGGGTGACAGAGTGAGACTCCAACTCAAAAAAAAAAAAGACATCATGCCTTGAAGGTCAGGCACATAGTTATACAGGCCCAGCCCTGCCCACAGAGGAGAGCGCCTGGCTCCTGCCATTCTGTTCCTGCCTAGAGACCTTCCACGCCAGTCACAAAAGAGCTCCCTGTTTCCTTTTTAGAGCCGCGCTGCTGTCTGTTTAATACAGGGGCAGGTGCTGGCTTTGCCCAGCAGGTAGGAGTTTCCAGAGTGAAGGGAAAAGGTTAGGACACTCCTGTCACGGCTGTGGCCTGTGAAAAAGGGTCACCAGCCGGGCTTGGTGGCTCAGCCTGTAATCCCAGCGCTTTGGGAGGCTGAGGTGAGTGGATTGCCTGAGCCTGCGGGTTCGAGACCCGCCTGGGCAACTTGGCAAGACCTCATCTACAATAAATCAAAAATTAGCCGGGTGTGGTAGCGTGCATCTATAATTCCAGCTACCTTGGAATACTGAGGCGGAAGGTTCGCCGGAGCCCAGCAGGTTGAGGCTGCAGTGGCCGGGAGTGGCCACTGCACTCCAGTCTGGGCAACAGAGTGAGACTCCAACTAAAAAAAAAAAGGGGTCACCATCATGAGTCCCTTCAGTAGGGGGGGCAGAGTGTGTAGTTAGGGACAGTCACCGTTCCCTATGTGACACTTTCCTGCTCTCTCCACTGTGAATTCCAGTATGGAGAAAGTGAGGAGCCAATGGGAGACGACGATTATGACGAGTACTCCAAGGAGTTGAACCAGTACCGCCGGTCGAAGGATGGCCGGGGCCGAGGTGGGCAGTGGCCCTGGGGGGAGTATGCCAGGGGGCCTTCTGCCAGCTGCTGAAATTGGATCCAGGGAAGGGCCAGCAGACTGACTCCGTCTCTCCTCTACAGGGCTAAGTCGAGGCCGGGGCAGGGGTTCCCGTGGCCGAGGGAAAGGGATGGGCCGAGGCCGTGGGCGAGGCGGCAGCCGAGGCGGCATGAACAAGGGTGGAATGAACGATGATGAGGACTTCTTTGACGACGACATGGGCGTGAGTTGACTTCGTTCTGGTCTGGGTTTTTGGTCAGGGTCCGCTCTTAGTCTTTCTCTTTAACGAGTGGTTCTGTGAGGCTGATCCCAGTCCCTGGTCCCATCAGCTGTTCCTCACGGGGCTGGTCAGCCTTAATGGGCTGGTGAGATCTTCTGTATTTTTTATGTATTAATTTATTTTTATTTGGCATCTCACTCTGTCGCCCAGGCTGGAGAGTGCAGTGGCACACTCACGGCCACTGCAGCCTTGACCTGTTGGGTTCAGGCAATCCTTCCACCTCAGCCTTCTTTTTTTTTCTGAGTTGGAGTCTCACTCTGTTGCCCAGACTGGAGTGCAGTGGCATGCTTCTGGCAGGCTCCGGCAATCCTTCCGCCTCAGCCTTCCAGGTAGCCACAAATACAGGTGTGCGCTACCACGCCCGGCTAATTTTCGATTTATTGTAGAGATGAGGTCTCGCCAAGTTACCCAGGAGGGTCTCGATCCTGCAGGCATAGGCAATCCACTCACCTCGGACTCCCAAAGTGATGGGATTACAGGCTGAGCCATCAGTCCAGCCCCGCCTCAGCCTTCTAAGTAGCTTGAGTACAGGCACACACCACCATGCCCGGCTAATCTTTTGATTTATTGTAGAGAGGAAGTCTCGCCAAGTTGCCCAGGCTGGTCTCAAACCCACGGGCTCCCAAAGTACTGGGATTACAGGCTTGAGCCACCGCACCCAGCAGACCCTCTGTATTTAAGACCACGTCTTTAGGCCTATGACATGGTGGCTCCTCTTGTAATCTTAGCACTTTGGGAGGCCAAGGCAGGAGGATTGCTTGAAACCAGGAGTTCAAGACCAGCCTGGGCAACATAGCAAGACCCTATCTCTACAAAAAATAAGCCAGGCATGGTGGCATGTGCCTTTAAGTCCCAGCTACTTGGGAGGCTGAGGCAGAAGGATTGCCTGAGTCCAGGAGATCGAGTCTGTAGTGTGCCATGATCACACTAGCCTTGGTGACAGAGCAAGACTTGACTCAAAAAACTTAGTAGATAAAATCACATCTGTAGCTGCACCTGCAGCCACCTGTAACCTCCTCTGAGGTTCATGAGGTTTTCGGTGACCCACCCAGGTAACCCTGGAGGGTTTTGCAGGAAGGCCCATGCTGCCTCCTCTGGGCGGGGGGTATGTTTCTGCACAGGTGTGTAGAGCTTGAGGCTACAGTTGCCAACAGCTCCAAGTGCCAGAGCTGTTCCCTGAGCACCAGTGTTCCACCATGGGATGCCAACCTGCACACGACCTCGGTGCTGGACAAGCCTGCCAGCTGGTGCTCCTGCAATTGTGTGTGGAAGTGCTTACCCCTCCCCTGTGGCTCTTGCTCACACCAGCCCCGTCTCTACCCTTCCTTCCATTCCTCTGACCTCTACACTCTGTGTCCCTCCCTCGTAGGACGGTGGCAGCGGCAGCTATCGGAGGAGTGACCATGACAAGCCTCACCAGCAGTCGGACAAGAAAGGCAAAGTCATCTGCAAGTACTTCGTGGAAGGACGGTGCACCTGGGTAGGGGCCACTCACTTGCCAGGCACCGTAGTAGGGCAGCAGCCTCTGGGCACATGGCTTCTGGGCATGGTCTGGGGGCTTTGGTCAGAGTAGATGAGAGTGACTGTGTGGTGGCCCTTGCTCCTGTGAGATGAGGCTGGAAGACTCAGTTTCCTTCTCAGAGTGAGGAGGACCCACAGCAAGGTGACAGATGAGTATTTTTGATTTTAGGGTTTTTTTGGGGAGCCAGTTTTCAACCCCTTCGTATAGTTGCAGATGTATTTATAAAGTTGATACTAATGCAAAAGTGTGGTCTGTCATGGTTAAGTTACTGAACTTCATGGTTGAAGAGGAAATGATTCAAGTATCCAGATAGGGGCAACCCTTTTTCAGGTCCCCTCCTACTTGGGAGTTTTTTTTTTCTTTTTTCTTTTTTTTTTAAGTTGGAGTCTCACTCAGTTACCCAGACTGGAGTGCAGTGGCTGCTTCCGGCCACCGCAGCCTCGCCTGCTGGGCTCCAGCGATCCTTCCGCCTCAGCCTTCCGAGTAGCCGGAATTACAGGCATGCGCTACCACACCTGGCTGATTTTTTGATTTATTGTAGAAATGAGGTCTCGCCGCCCAGGTGGGTCTTGAACCCGTGGGCTCAGGCAATCCACTCACCTCAGCCTCCCAAGGCATAGGATTACAGGCTGAGCCACTGAGCCCGGCTTGTCTTCTTAATAAACTGCTTTCTCACCAAAAAAAAAAATAATAAAGTATCCAGATAGAAAAGGGGGTTAAAATCAGGTTAGCCTTGAACTTTATAGCAGAACTCAGTGCCAGAAGATGGACCAATGACCACAGAGTTCTGAAGGAAAAGAGTATCACTCAGTTCAGCCAGCCAGCTTTCTATTCAAATGTAAAGGCAGCAACCAGGTATCCAGAGATACGTGCTCAGGAAATACGGCCTCCAAACATCTGTCTTGGCAAGAAATAGGTATTTTGAGGCCAGGCATGGTGACTCATGTCTATAATCCCAGCACTTTGGGAGGCTGAGGTGAGAGGATTGCTTGAGCCCAGGGGTTCGAGACCAGCCTGGGCAACATGGTGAGACATCATCTCTACAATAAATAAAAAAATTAGCCAGGCTTAGTGCCTGTTTCTAGCTACTTGGAAGGCTGAGGCAGAAGGCTCACCTGAGCCCAGCAGGTCGAGGCTGCGGTGGCCATGAGCATGCCACTGCACTCCAGCCAGTCTGGGTGACAGAGTGAGACTCCAACTCAAAAAATAAAAAATAAAAATAAAAGAAACAGGTATTTCTAACAAATATGTTGTGTGTAAAATATTTCTTCTCATTTTAAAATGTTTATTAGTTACAATTCACGTTCTTACTAGAAACTTGAAATTAGCCGGGTGCAGAAGCTCATACCTGTAATCCCAGCACTTTGGGAGGCAGAGGCGAGGGGATTGCCTGAGCTCAGGGGTTCAAGACCAACCTGAAGCCAGGCTCGGTGATTCAGCCTGTAATCCCGTGCCTTTGGGAGGCTGAGGTGAGTGGATTGCCTGAGCCCGCGGGTTCGAGACCTGCCTGGGCAACTTGGTGAGGCCTCATCTCTACAATAAATAAAAAAATTAGCCGGGCGTGGTAGCGCATGTCTGTAGTTCCAGCTACTTGGAAGGCTGAGGCAGAAGGATCGCCGGAGCCCAGCAGGTTGAGGCTGCGGCCACTGCACTCTAGTCTGGTTGACAGAGTGAGACTCTAACTCAAATTAAAAAAAAAAAAAAAAAAGAAGGACCAGCCTGAGCAACATGGTGAGACCTTGTCTCTACAATTAATTAAAAAATCAGCCGGGAACGGTGTCACATGCCTGTGGTTACAGCTACTTGAAAGACTGAGACGGATCACCTGAGCCTAGCAGGTTGAGACTGCAGTGACCACGAGTGTGCCACTGCACTCCAGCCTGGGCGACAGAGTGAAATTCAAAAAAAAAAAATGAAACTTGAAATAAGTTTAAACAAAGACAAGCAAGTAGCTGAGTTGGAAAAACAGATCAGCTTTATCTTTGGCGTGCAGTGATGGTGTCTGACTCCAGAGAAGGACAGAGTGATGAGAAATGTGGTGTTTTGATTGTGTATTGACTGGAAGTAAGGGAAAACTGAACTCTAATGGCTTACTTGTCTCAGAACCAGGAATCTGGAAATAGGTGGGAAGTACAGTGGTCAGCAGCCTTCTGGGGGACGCAGGTTCCTTCCTCCTCCTCTATTCTGCCATATTTAAACACGTGACTTTTGTCCTCATGGTTGCATGATGGCTGCCAAGACTCCTGGCATCACATTCAAGGGCCGGAAAGAAGAAAAATGGGTCAAAGGATTTTTTATTTAGGAAGCGTCTCCTGAGTATGTATGCTTCCATCTTACTAGCTGAATCTGCAAGGGAGGCTGGAAAATGGAGTATTTTTTTTTGTTTTTTTTTTTGAGTTGGAGTCTCATTCCTTCGCCCAGACTGGAGTGCAGCACCGCAGCCTCAACCTGCTGGGCTCCGGTGATCCTTCCGCCTCAGCCTTCCAAGTAGCTGGAATTACAGGCGCGTACTACCACGCCCGGCTGATTTTTGATTTATTGTAGAGATGCGGTCTCGCTGCCCAGGCGGGTCTCGAACCCGCAGGCTCAGGCAATACACTCACCTCAGCCTCCCAAAGGCGCGGGATTACAGGCTGAGCCACCGAACCCAGCTAATGGAGTATTTTTAACTAGCAATATTCTTCCCCAAACAAAACTGGGCTTTTGTTAGGAAGAAAGAAGTATGGGGGGGACTAGATACGGGATGAGTACCAGGCCTGGTTGCCACGTAGCAAACAGTAAGAAACAGTGAGTAGAGAAGAGCCGGGTGAGAAGAGGAAGGGGAGAGGAGAGGGGGAGAAGCTGCAAGATGCCACAGTGCTAGGAAGGGGAGGCATGGGCACGTGGGGGTAGGGAGAGGAAGGTGCACAGGCAGGTGTCGGGAGTAGGCACACTATGTCAGAAGCTTCCAAGGTAGGAAACAGCACCTGGGAGCCTCCTCTTCTGGACCTGCCATTCTTTCTCAAGAGAGACTTGTTTCTGTCCTCGGTCCCTCTGCGTATCAGCAGTGACAGGCGTGAGCAAGGGTTCACTGTGCCGCCACTTGACCTTGTCATTGCTTCTCTTCCAGGGAGACCACTGCAATTTTAGCCACGACATTGAACTCCCAAAGAAGCGAGAGCTATGCAAGTTTTACATCACTGGATTTTGTGCCCGGGCTGAGAACTGCCCCTACATGCACGATATCCTTTGGTGCCTACAGCTGGTCTGTGAGGATGTAGAACTGTTTCGCAGCGTTCACAGCTGATCTTTGTGCTTGCTCTCTGTGCCGAGAGCTTTCTGTGTATCTCACATCTGCCCCATCGGCACCCATTCTGCAGGTGACTAGACTGAGACACACTTGCCGTATGTTCTCTTCCATAGGTTCTCAAGACCATTTCCATCGCTTGTCATTCTGAGGTCTTTCCTACTCGGTTTGTCCCCTCACTCAAGTCACTTAATTTCTCCATTCCGTTGAGGAGCTGAGGATACAGCCCCAAAGTCGGTGTGGTAGACGGGAGATGCTCTGGAGCAAGTCTTGGGAACCAGGCTTTCTTTCTCCTCGGGTCTGTGGAAGCCTACTGTGCAGTCCTGAGCAAGCCACCGCACCTCTCTGGGCTTCAGTTTCCTCATCTCCAAAGCAAAGGGGGTCACGTTCTCCTGGGAGGGTTCTGGGAGGTGACGCATGTGCCTTAACACACTGAACGCGATTTCCCGTGTAAATTGTACCACACGACTGGAAACTGCATCAATGGTGATGACTGCATGTTCTCGCACGACCCCCTGACGGAAGAGACAAGGGAGCTCCTGGATAAGGTATGTCTGGGCAGGACCCAGGAGCATGCCCTCCATGGCGCCATGGCCCGCCTGTGTGGCTCTGTGCTTCCCATTTGCTTTGATCTGAAGCTGGCTGTTTGCAGGAAGAGTGGGGACCACTTGCTGTCTGCTGGGAGTTGAAGTCACACACATGCCTTCTCTCGGACTGGGACAGGCTGCTGCTGTTTTCACTGGGGCATGGCTATGTGAAAGGAACTTTGCGACTGGGCACAGTGGCTCAGCCTGTAATCCCAGCACTTTGGGAGGCCAAGGTGAGAGGATGGCGTGAGCCCAGGGGTTTGAGACCTGCCTGGCCAACTTGGTGAGACCTTGTCTCTGCAGTAAATCAAAAGATCAGCCAGGCGTGGTAGCACGCCTGTACTTCCAGCTACTTGGAAGGCTGAGGTGGAAGGATCGCCCGAGCCCAGCAGGTTGAGGCTATGGTGGCCATGAGTGTGCCACTGTACTTCAGCTTGGGCTACATGGAGACTCCAACTCAAAAAAAAAAAAAAAAAAGGGACATTGCCTGGTGTGTCTGAAACACGTTTTGTGATATCCTGGCTATCATTTAGAGAGAGTCATGACATAAGTGGGAGCGTCACATTTCTTTTGCAACTTTGAGGGTCTCTCATGCATTAGAGAAAGTCAAGGGAAATTGGAAGGTCCCCAGAGGGGGAGGCTTCTCTGGGTGGGTTGTCGGGTCTTCCTCACTAGCCAGGTGACACTCAGCTCACCTTGGTGTCTGTTATCCTCTCTGAGGAATAACTTAGGACTTCGGGAGCCTCAGGTACCTGTCATCGATTTCCTGATGCATCCAGGTTGCGAATGGGTCAGAGAACAGGTGTCCATTCAAACGAGGGCTTCCTGCCTTCTGGTTCCCAAAAGGTGTTTGGACATTGGTTATTTTTTTGAGAGTGGAAAGTATTGAGACCATCAGTACATCAACCAGCTTCAAGAGTCCTCCATCAGTGACTATCATATTAACCTGTGGCCAGGGCCACTTTAGAGGGAGCTGGGGGAAGACCTACAACAAGCAGAAGCTTCTCAGTACCACAAAGTGTGCATTTTTGCCAGTCCTTTTGGAGAGTCCATTACCTAGGGTCTTATGATTCATAAATACCTGGAGTCTGAGTTGTATCACAGTGTAAGTAGTGGCAGAAGTCAGGGTGGCCTCCTTTCTCATTGCAAGGGCTGACCCATATCTGACTGAGCACTGCCCCCTGCTGGAGACTCGGAGTTGACCCGCTAAGCCAGTGCTGTCCCATAGGAACACCAGAAAGCCACTTGGTTTATTTACAATTTTCCAGTAGCCACATTAAAAAAAAAGGAAACAAATTAATTTTAACAGTGTATCTTATTTAACTCAAAATGTCACTTTAGTGAGAAAGGATGAAAAAAATGGAAATATATTATCTTTTTGTACTTTTTTTTGTGTGTGTGTTGGAGTCTCACTCCATCGCCCAGACTGGAGTATAGTGGCATGCTCCCGGCCACCACAGCCTTGACCTGCTGGGCTCCGACAATCCTTCTGCCTCAGCCTTCTGAGTACCCGGAACTACAGGCATGTGCTACCACGCCCAGCTAATTTTTGATTTATTGTAGAGATGAGGTCTTACCAAGTTACCAGGGCGGGTTTCAAACCCACAGGCTCAGGCAGTCCACTCACCTCAGCCTTCCAAAGAGCTGGGATTACAGGCTGAGCCACCGAGCCCAGCCTCTTTTTGTACTTTTAATGGCTAGGAGTCTTTTTATTTTAAAAGAATTTTTGTTTTGATTTTTGTCTTGTTTTGAGTTGGAGTCTCACACTGTCACCCAGACTGGAGTGCAGTGGCGTGCTCCTGGCCACCACAGCCTCATGAATTGTGGTACTTGAGCCTCTTAAGATAAATGCCATATAGAGAAATGTTTTGTGAAAACAAAACCGGAGGTTTGCAAAGCTTCGAGCTTAGAGGCTTCTGATGGGGAATGTGCACACAGCTCCCTCCAGTGTCGATACATACCTTCTCAGTTGATCTGTAAGCAGCTCTTAACGTTTGCATTCCTTTTGTTTTTTACTGTCTTTAGAATCCAGTGCTGATTTCCTACTTAGATCCTATCTCTCTTTTTTTTCTTTTTCTTTTGAGTTGGAGTCTCAGATTCTCACTCTGTTGCCCAGGCTGAAGTACAGTGGCACTCTCACAGCCACCACAGCCTTGACCTGCTGGGCTCAGGTGATCCTTCTGCCTCAGCCTTCCAAACAGCTGGAACTACAGGCATGAGCCACCATGGCCAGCTAATATTTTTATTTATTGTAGAGGTGAGGTCTTGCCATGTTGCCCAGGCTGGTCTTGAACCTGTGAGTTCAGACAATCCTCTCATCTCCCAAAGTGCTGCGATTATAGGTGTAAGCCACCACACCCATCTACAGTCCTTCTCAATTTGGACCTGCCACATTCAAGTACTTATAGACTACATGTGGACGACAGCCACCACACGGATCAGGGTAACCCTAGATGCCCTAGTTAAAAACCCAGGTGGCACAGTTCAGCTTCTAGCCATGGACATTTTGAAAGTATAATATCATCCCCTATCTTAGATTAACAAGAGTGTCAAACGAGGAAAAGTCGTTACAGAGTCCAGGTGGATGGTCAGGAAGTAAGACGTATAGTAGCCCTCCTCTTGGAAGGGCCTGAATGAACCCTGATGAAAACATGGGGTACACCATGCCTTTGTACTGGGACGTGGGCAGCGTCTGTCATTCACAGAACTGAGCTCGTGGCCAGTAGGGGAAGGGCAGGCACGTGGCATGTGGCATGACCAGGTGGAGATGGGAGCGGTAGCCCAGAACCAGGGGTGGGTAGGACCTCAGAGGCTGGGGAGGGAGGCAGCGGCGGCGGGGGAGGCCTTCCAGAAGGAGCATGGGACAGGGCAGCAGATCCAACGAGGCAGAGCCAGGACTCTTCTCCCCTCCACGGCCGTTGTGATGTTGATGAGTTCTCTGGAGTTCAGGAAAGGCACAGGAGACACCTCAGTTTGTCTTCCTTCATTCGTTTACAGATGTGGTTGGCACCTAGTTTATGCCCAGCACGGGTTGGTGAGGAGGCAGTATGGGGTCCTCTGCAGATACTGAAGACACACAGGCATTGGGTCATGAAGAAAAGGTGCTAGAGCCAGAGGGTTTCTACTTGGGGCCTTGCTCGTGAGGAGGCGACACTGTGCTGGCACCTGGGTGTGCAGCAGTCAGGACTGAAGACGAGGGAGGTTCCAAGCAGCAGACACCCCACGGTCCCCCGCTGTGGCAGGGCCAAGATACTGGAAGGGGTCCTGGGGCCGTGAGGGCAGTGAGCAGCCTGGATCTGCCCTGGCCACAGTGCTGAGATGCAGAGGCTCTGGTCGCCCCCCAGTGGCTGGGTCCTGGTGGTGTCCCCCACACAGCAGAGGCAGATTCTGCCGCCCTGTGCCCCCTGCACTGCTAGTCCCCATGCAGACCCCACTGGAGTAGCAGGGCGCTGAGGGCCTGGCGGCTGCTGCCTCTCACTTCCTTCCCCCTCCGTGAAGCCACGTTCTTCTCAGGCCATGGGGTCCTTGGTCCAAAGACCCTGTAGCGAGGAGAGAGGAAGGCTGTGAATGGCCTGGCCCCCTGGAGTCCTGCCCTGCCACCCCTGGTATCCCTGGTTGGAGGAGCAGGTATCCTGACCTGTGTTAGGACCCACCACAAGGGATCTGTGTGAGGCTCCCCATGATGACCCCAAGCCAGGTTCTGTGCAGCTTGCTAGGGAACTCCTGGCCAGGATTGGCCACAATGAGAGGACCCTATGTAGGATCAGCTGAGGGACAGCTGCGTTGGGGGCAGTCCCGCCGAGGCCAGGCACACTTTCGGGGTTGTCTCCCGGCGAGGCCTCAGAAAGCACACTCCACACCTCCAGCTGTGACAGCACAGCACGAGCAGCTTGCTGGCTGCTAGGAGGCTCAGGCCGTGCCCAGGGTTTTCACGGGACCGGGTCGCCTAGGCAGCATCTGCCTGGCATGTGCTGAAATTACAGCCTCCCAGAAGGAAAGCAGGCTTTTGACATTCAGCATAAATTGCACTGAACCCTCTTACTGATCAGAGAATGCTGGGGATTCTCCCAAAATCCAGGTTTCCAGACACCAGCTGAGGGCCAGGCTTGCAGGAGAGCGACCAGGCCTATGGTGTTCCCTCTCCTGTGAAACTTAGTTGGTGAGAGGTTCCACTCCAGTCCAGACTGGAAGGCTTTAGTTACTTATGGGGTATCTGCCCTATTTTTTTTTGAATTGAAGTCTCACTCTGACCCAGGCTGGAGTGCAGTGGTATGCTCATGACCACTGCAGCCTCCACCTGCTGAATTCAGGCGATGTTTCCGCCTCAGCCTTCCAAGTACCTGGAACCACAGGTACTTGATTTTTCTTGATTTACTGTAGAGATGAGGTCTCACCAAGTTGCTCAGGCTGGTCTTGAACAACCCTAGTCTCAGGCAGTCCTCTCATCTCAGCCTCCCAAAGTGCTGGGATTACAGGCTTGCGTCACTGTGCCAGCTAGTATCTGCCCTTTATCAGGCTGGTGCTGGGCCCTGGGGCTACAGCAGGGAAGAAATAGTCCCACGCTGGTGGAGTCACAAGAGCCAGGATACACAAGGGACCTGTGGATGTATACTCCAACAGGGGACTCGTGGTGCCCAGTAGTGGACCTAGGAGAGCAAGCAGTCACTCTGAGTTGGCATGTAGAGACCTCAGCAGTTGGGTGACAAGCAGCCACACAGGCCTAGAAGGAAAAATAAAAGCCCAGGAGAAGCTTGGTCTGGGCTCTACAGGGAGGAGCTTGGCTGTCCATGAGCTGAGCTGTGAGTCTGGGTGCCAGAGTGGTGGGAGGAGTTAAAACTGCTGGAAGCTGCTCAGTCTTCCCTAGAGACACCCCTGCCCTGCACTCTGGCCCTGAGGAGTTTGGCTGTTATTGCAGGTGTAACGAGAGGCCCTTCAAAGCCAAACAGGCCAGTGGAGTATTATTTAGCTATAAAAATGGAATGATGTCCCTACTAGGTGCTGCTGCAGGGGGCCCTTGCTAAGTGAGAGCAACCAGTCCCATAAGGCCATGTAGTATGTGCTTTCACTCGTGTGAGATGTCCCAAAGAGACCGACTCACCTCCACCACACAGACCAGTGGCTGCCAGGGACTGGGGCAGGAGGTGTGGAACGCTTAGTAGGTTCAGGGACTCCTTTGTGGATGATGATGTCCTAGAACTAGGCAGAAGTGGTGGTTGCATAACATGGCAAGTGTGCTACCTGCCACTGAAGCGTTCAGTTGAAATGGTGATGGTGTGGCCGGGCTTGATGGCCCAGCCTGTGACCCCAGCACTTTTTTTTTTTTTGAGCTGGAGTCTCACTCTGTCGCCCAGACTGGAGTGCAGTGGCCGCTCCCAGCCACTGCAGCCTCAACCTGCACTGTAGCCACTGCAGCTGGGCTCTGGTGATACTTCTGCCTCAGCCTTCCGAGTACCTGGAACTGGAACTACAGGCACGCGCTACCACGCCTGGCTGATTTTTTTATTTATTGTAGAGATGAGGTCTCGCCAAGTTGCTCAGGCAGGTCTCGAACCCGCGGGCTCAGGCAATCCACTCACCTCAGCCTCCCAAAGCGCAGGATTACAGGCTGAGCCACCGAGCCCGGCTTATCCTTTTTTTTTTTTTCGAGTTGGAGTCTCATTCTGTCGCCCGGGCTAGAGTGCAGTGGCACGCTTAACAGCCATCGCAGCCTCAACCTGCTGGGGTCAGGTGACCTTTCGTCTCAGCCTTCTCAGTAGCTGGAACTACAGGCATGTGCCACCATGCCCAGCTAATTTTTTGATTTATAGAGGTGAGGTCTCACCAAGTTGCCCAGGCTGGTCTCGAACCCCTGGACTCAGGCAGCCCTCACTTCAGCCTCCCAAAATGCTGGGATTACAGCCATGAGCCTCACACCCATCTATATTATGTGTATTTTGCCACAGAACAGGAAGGACTGTCTCAGAAGTAGGGCAGAAGGGTGTCTGGTGGTGATTTTTGTTACAAAGAGGTGTTGCTGTCATTGGCCTTGAGGGCCTCAAGGTCCTGTGCTGTAGGTTTTGCTCACAAGTGTCAGCTCTCAACCCTGGAGAGGTCAGCTCCTGCCTGCAGCTTCAGACCATCGCTCTTTTGTTCTTCTGGCCTGCAGATGTTGGCTGATGACGCCGAGGCGGGTGCTGAGGACGAGAAGGAGGTGGAGGAGCTGAAGAAGCAGGGCATCAACCCGCTGCCCAAACCGCCCCCCGGTGTGGGCCTCCTGCCAACCCCCCCCCGCCCC